CAATCCACGTCATAACTTTATCTTCAATAAAGGTCAAAGCCCATTCCGTCAAAAGCCCAAGTTGAGTTGGTCATTAGCCCAAAACTACCGCTATCTAACTACGGGCTTTACTAAAGCTCGAATCAAGACGCCAGCAGGCATGTGTACCAAGTTAGATGCGGCCCAAGTCCATTTAAAGAAGGAACCGGTCCTACAAGGAAAATGATTCATCAAAGGAGGTAAGTTCTGTGTAAGGAAAATCCGGAAAGGGAAGAATTATAAAGAGGAAAGAATTCTATTTGTAAAGAAATTGATATATGGAAAGAATTAGAGGACAAGCAACGCGAGTCCTACATAATTCTTCTAACTTTTGTATATAAATAGAGGCACAGACCTCCAATAAAGGGATCCAAGTAATTCTACGCTTCTCTATACACTGGTCTTATTTATTTTTACTTTTTGAGTGAGTTGTTTTATTTTTCTCAATCATTATCGGTTGAGTGAAATTTTGCACCTACATCACCGATTCATGAAATAATGGATCGGATTTGATTGAATCTGCAGAATGAGTTTTTCCTAAATTGTTTAATATTGTTTATTTTTTTACCTATAGCCCAATAAATAAAATTTTAATTTATCAATATTAATTCATATATATAAATAATTATTAACTAATACATTTTTAAAGTCTATTAAATAATCATTAATTATTTAAATTAAGTAATACATTCTTTATATATATATATATATATATATATATATATATATATATATATCGCGAATCAAATCGGATTGAATTTTAATAACTTAATTCGTAAGTTATAGATTTAATTTTTTTTTAAATTCACCATCAATCCATAGATATAACAATCCGTATGAATCAAATCAAATCGGATCAAATTCTCAAATTCAACAATTATTTCCCCACCCCTGCTTTAAATCCCAACTTTTGCTTTTGTCTTTATATCCCCACAGCTCTCATCAAGTGGCTATTTTATGCGTAACAACACAATATAGTAGTACACGATTTGTTTGGCTGAAAGGAAATAGGAATAAAATACAATAAAAAACAAAAGCAAAGAGGAAAAAACAAAAGCGAGTCAATCAGAATGGCCAAAACAGAAGTCATGGGGCCTCAACGTGAATCTCATGCGTTGTAACCTACTAAAACCGTGTGGGACCCTGTGGTGGACTTGCTGCTACTCTTTGTCTTGTAAAAAATTTTATATTCCAAAAAATTAAAAGAAAAAAAAAATCTCTTATTGACTTAAACAGACCTAAAATAAAATTAATATAAGAGCATAATTTCAAAAAGAAACCATCAATTGTTCTTCCTTTCGTGGTCCTTGTGAGTAGGGTTACAAGTTAGGCTGACTCAATCTAATTCAATTCCAACTCAATCTCAACTCAAATTAGGGTGGGTTAAGTCAATCTGAATTGTACCTAATATGGGTTATGATCAAAACTCAGCCTAAATATTTTCAGGCCGGTCTGGTCGGATTGACGAATTGAGTTTTTTTTTTTTTAAATAAATTTTTTCTCAAAATTTATATTATATATATATATATATATATTATATTATTATTTAAAAACAAAAATTTTTTAGGGCAAATCATTTCAGCCTCCCCAATCGCTGTCAGGTCTCATTCTCAACTTTCTCTCTCTCTCTCTCTCTCTGCAACTACAAACTACAAAATCTACAAGAATCAAAAGTTTTTTTTTTGATTCAGCAACTTGATGAGCGACAAAAATCTGTCCGGCCATTATTTATATTCTCTCAATTTTATTCACATATTGTTTGCTCCAGACCCATGAAATAAACTTCCTTATTTTTTGAGTTCCACAGGTGGATGTGCCATCTTGCTTTGTTGCTTTGATCCTTGAGAACTGCCAACTTCCATTTCCAAAACATGGGCATGTTATTTTAGCAAATTCGTCACCCATCTTATTTTATCAAATCAGTACTACTGAGATTCGCTATTTGTAGGCGACGGCGGGGAGGGGGCAGAGAGAGAGAATGAAGAGAGAAAAAGAGATAGGAGAGAGAAATGAGGGAATTTTTTATTTTTTTTTATTTTGGATTTTGGGTTGGGTTGGGTTCGGGAATATGTCTGGGTTTTGACAAAATTCAACCTGAACATGAACTCGATTTGTGAATTGTACGTCCAAATTTTAAAATTTCTAAACTGGGGCTGGGTTGGGCTACGTTAGCCCGCCCAAATTGCAGCGGTACTCAGGAGTTGTTCCTTCTCAAATAACGTAACCATAAGCGGTGAAATTTGAGGCTAGGAAGACAAGGTTTGAAAATACTTTGATGATACTTTTCTTTTCCATTTTTTTTTTTTTTTGGGTGCAATTGCCTTTTATTTTTATATGGAGGGGTATTGATAATATTAATTTTGAAAATTAAAAATAGGGATAAAATGATTTTGTAGTATTCATTTACCTTATGTTTTCATTCTTAATTACTTTCCTTAATTTATAATTAAAAATTATATGTGAATTTGTGATTGAACCATATAAGCGACTGAATTATAAAAAATGAATGGATAAAATGATATCTCAATCTGAATGCTTGGAAGGGCTTTGTAGTTTTCATAATGTCATGGTACATGGTATTCAGTAGCATGTGATGTGGATATAAATTAATTGGGTTGGCCAAATTAGGGTCTATTTGGCTAGTGCTTTTGTTTTGTATTTTTTTGTTTTTGCTAGCGTATTGTAGCGAAACAAATGTACGAAGCATGTTTGATAATATTTATTATGCTTTTGAATAGTACCGAAGCGTTTCCAAAATAAAGGCCAAAATCAAAAGTATCAAAATAATACTTTTGTTTACTTTCACACTGTAACAAAGCACTGTTCATAAAAATAAATAAATAATTCTAAATAACATTTTTAACGAACCATTCAAAATTTCAAACTTGCAACACTTTTTGCCAAACATGCTTTCATATTTTTGTTTCTAAAAATCTTGTAACAAATTTACATTACCAAACAAGTTTCTAAATAGTGTTGAAAAAACTCTAAAAACAAAAACATTACTTTTGGTTCGGATCAAAGCAACTGTGGTTGCCAAACATGCCCTTAGTCTCCCACTTTTTTCTTTGGTGCTGTGCTTCAGTGTTTGTGATATTACGATCTCGTTTGTTTGGATGTAAAATATTTTTCAATATATATATATATATATTGATATTTGGTTGTCGTAAAATATTTACTAAGAAAAAAAATATTAAAATTTAACAAAAATAATTTATTCATAAATTTTCAACAAGTTATTTTACATGCCCCACCTAATGGATTTTTTTTTTTTTTAGTTGGTATTGACACACATATGCCTCCATTGAGGCTCGAACCCCTGACATTCCCTTTGGGAAGTAGGGGCTTGGTACCGCTAGGTCACAGGCCTGTTGGACTTGACCTCAATCTTAACGTAAATCTTTGCCAAATATCAAAAAAGTAAAAATAAAAAAATATTTTACCTGAAAGATGATAATGTTTTTCAAAAAAAAAAATTTTACGTCGAAACAAACGAAATCGTAGACAGTTTTTTTTTTTTTTTTAAGACACTTTTTTTGCCAAGCCCCAATTTCAACCCCTCTTAAACCACTATATAATTACATTGGGCAAGTCCCAATGGACAACCACAAAAAGTGGGTACTAGGCCGAAAGCCATACAAAACTAGAATTTAACTACCAAAATAGCTCTTGGAAATAGCAGTGTTGAAAAATTAAACTTAATGGCCTTATAATTACTGTAATTCTTTGTAAAGCCAAACAGTTTCTTAAAAAAAAAAAAAAAAAAACTCAGTAAGGGAAAAAAACGAAAATATTGGATGATCATCAAAGTATAATTATAAAAAATTGGGTAATGCTTAGGACAAATAATGCTGCAATTTAATCGGATCACTAGCAACATATAAAAAGGAGTGAAAATGATTATAAAACATGAACTATAGACTTCGAATTTTTTGCTGATCACTAGCAACATCTTGGAGGTGACTTTGAATTTTCTTGAGACAATTATAATTAAATAATTACTAATACTATATGAATAAATTAGCAAAATAATTACCTACCAAAAAGAAAATTTCTTTAAGTAACCACTTCAAATTACTAGTGTGGCCCATGTGGATGTCCGGCTCAATGGGGAAGCAATAGGGCCCTAGGACATCTGGCCATGGTTCAGTCAAGTCTTTCCTCTACTCTTGGCCCAAGAATGGTTCAAGAAATTTGGACCAAGGTAGTCCAAGTAATAAGGCTTTGAGCAACCTAAGGTTCCTAGGAAATTCTAACCCTTTTATATTTCTTGTTCGATCAATTCAGGAAAATTCCATTAAATTCAAACTCTCTCGATAGTATATTGAGTATATTTTTCTTATTATTATTTTTTTAAGAGTTAAGACCATTCCAACGATCTTGTTCGTAATACATGAAAGGCAAGTATCTTTTTTTTTAAAGCAAGAATGGGTTAGGGGTTAGTTGTTAAAGGGGAAGAGGAGGGTGTAAGGTTCGAATATAAGTTTCCAAATACAGAGAACAATCCAATCACTTGGACAATACAACACTTGCATATTAAACAAGTATTCAATCTTCTTCTTCTTATTTTTTTATATATTTTTTCGCACCTCATATAAAAGCCATGTTGCATGAAAACTTGATATGTTAAATAAAGTAGTAAGTCAATTTTTCAGATGAACACAGAATAACTAATGGTATTCCCTCGTGTTCAAAATAAGAACCAAAAATTGAAAAGGAAATGTGAAATTGAAGACTTTGAGGCTACCTAACTAATATTTTCAAATACTAATGCTCCATATATATTTATGAAAGACTAAGGGGGTATCTTGGCAATTTACATTTTTTTTTTGTCTCCTTGTCGGGAGAGAATTAATATATCGATAAATTAAACATTAAAACTTTACAAACCGGCCCGCTTAATTCGGCGACAAATTGACGAAACGTACCTATATTTGGATTTCATTCGAGAAAACGACGACAACAAGCTAAAAAGTACCTGAGAAAATGAACTAGCCGTTGGGACTCAAATTCAAAACCGATTGGGTCACTCCCCCAGAGTCAGAGACAACCAATCTATAGCTTTTTGTTTCCCCCATCAAAACCCTAGAAAATAGAATTGAACTCTCTGTAAACGCTCCTTCTTCTCTCTCTACAACACGGGCTCTTTTTTTTTTCTCTCTCGAAACCCTGAGGAGTCTTCATTGATTCATCAGATTTGATTTGATTGGATCTGAGTATTCGTGGTTCGACTCTGATTCGAGGTTTCTGTGAGTATTTTCATTCCATTTTTATTTTTATTTGGAGTCAATTTCGCTAAGTTTCCTTTTAGGTTTTATTGTGAATTTTGATGCTTAAAATGAGTATAGCATGAAAGAAAAATTCTTTTTTAGCAAGTTTCCTTTCACGATTGTTCCGGAATATATAGAAATGTGTGTGTGTATATCTCTCTCTATATATGTTCACTGATTGATTCAGATCTAGCACCAGATGCGGAAAAATTGTAACAATTGAAAAAAAAGAGATTAAATGTGTGAATGTTTTATCAGTCTATCTTCTCTGCACCTCGATCTTCCAAAATCACAGAGAGAGAGAGAGAGCTGTTAAGGCTGATTTTGAATAAACTGATTCTAAGTGAGAATAATTTAGAAGGTTTTCACTTTTTTTTCCTTGCGCGTTGACTGTGTTTAATCCTCAATTTGTTTACTCAGAACACTGCAAATAAGAAAAGGAAACATGGTATATTAAAACGAAGCCCTTTGTAAGTTATCAGAGCTGCAAATTTTTTTTTTTTTTTGGCGGATGTAACAACAACAAATTCGCTCATGATCAAATTACAACCTAAGGATGATGGTGGTGTCCGGCCTCCTAGAGCATCCCATAATTTATCACCGGGCACTTGCAGTCCCCCATCCCATATGCATAGTGCAGTTACTTGAAATTTCCCTGTGGGTGGCCAAGGGGATTCGAACTCTTGACCTCCAAGATGTGAGGTGAGAGCCTTATGATTCTTTTAGAGAAGTTGAAATCAAATGATATATGTGATATCTTATATACAAAGTTTTGAAATTTGGCAAAAATATAAAGTAAAATTATTGGGGATCATGTTGTATACAGAAATTTGGCAACTTAATTACACTAAGTACTGATGCTTAGAAAAGAGTAAAAAGTAATTTAACTAAAGTTTAAACAGTTTTTGATTAGTGAATGATTGGAGCCTCTGAGTCTCACTGTTCTTTTTCCAATTATTGTTTAATTCATTCTTGTGGATTGCCAACTTTTTTTAGATTGACATTCTTTTTACGGCAAACTAATTTGTGATTACTTTAGCAGGTAAGCACCAGATAAGGAAGTAGTATCATAATTGTTGCTGTTTTTGTAAGGAGTTTATTACTTTAGTCTCTCTTGAGAGAAGAGGCCTTGACTGTACTTTTACAGAGTCTTCTTTGAAGTCTTAACTGTCCAGAACTATACATCTACATATAGTAAATATGACAGTTAGAAATCCTGTTACACCTTCTTCAAAAATAGATAGGACACCAGTATCCACCCCAGGTGGCCCTAAAGCTAGAGAAGAGAAGATCGTTGTGACAGTACGGTTAAGGCCTTTAAACAGAAGGGAGCAATCAACTAAAGACCAAGTGGCATGGGAGTGTATTGATGATCAAACAATTGTGTATAAACCACCACCTCAGGATCGTTCAGCACAACCAGCCTCATTTACATTCGGTAACCAAGTGAAGCCCCATCTATGTTTTTTAATTTTTGGTTACATAGTAACATAGATGCTTTTGTGGTATTTGTTTTAGGTTATATGGAAATTAATTGAGCAATGTTCTTTCTTCAGATAAAGTCTTTGGTCCTGCTTGTCAAACTGAAACTGTTTACGAGGAAGGGGTAAAGAATGTCGCGTTGTCGGCTTTAATGGGCATCAACGGTAGTGCATATTCTCCACAACAATCTATTTTTATATGTTACATAGAAGCATTTACTACTATTTTTTATATATACATTCTTATTAAAGAATTCTTTATCCATCGTGTATTGCAGCAACCATATTTGCGTATGGGCAAACTAGCAGTGGAAAGACTTTCACAATGAGAGGAATTACAGAGAAAGCTGTTCATGATATCTATAAGCATATAATTAATGTAAGCTAGTTAGAACCTGCTGATATTATTACTGCAGAATACGTTTGGTCATCAGAGTAGGGTCTAATAAATTCCCTCACTGATAATTCAAAGAACTTTAAATGAAAAACTCTACCTTATTTGCACAAATTATGTAGTTAGGGATCTAAATGCTAATATTGAAAAAACTGTTGGTTCATAACTGATCTTATGTTGTATGACATCAAACAGACTCCAGAAAGAGATTTTAGAATAAGAATTTCTGGGCTAGAAATCTACAATGAGAATGTTAGAGACCTGTTGAATTCTGAATCTGGTCGCAATCTCAAGCTTTTAGATGATCCAGAGGTAAATTCAGTGTAAACTCTTTAATATCTATGGGTATTCAATGTTTTTGCATTCTTTCCCGGTGATGATTTACTGTATTTGTTGTGATTCTGCAGAAAGGAACTGTGGTGGAGAAGTTGGTGGAGGAAACAGCAAACAACGATCAGCATTTAAAACATTTAATCAGTATTTGTGAGGGTAAAGACTAGGAGCTTCTGGCATGAATTGGTTTAGTTTCCTTTAATGTTTCGGTTAGCGTTAAGCCATTTTAATACTACTTGATACTCTGTATTATTTGTAGCCCAAAGGCAAGTGGGTGAAACTGCCCTAAATGATACTAGCTCGCGGTCACACCAGATAATAAGGCTGGTAAGTCTTATTGCTTGTAATTTATCTCAACTCTGCCATATGAAAATGCAGCAAGTGATAATCAACTCATGTTAATAATTTTGACTCACAATGCAGACAATAGAAAGTACTCTCAGAGAAAATTCAGATTGTGTGCGGTCTTTCGTTGCAAGCCTGGTAAAACTTTTGCTTTCATATACATCCTAAAAAGGTTGAAGAGCAAAAACTTTGTGACCATAACTGTTACATTGATATGCTGCAGAACTTCGTAGATCTAGCTGGAAGTGAAAGAGCCTCACAGACAAATGCCGAGGGTGCTAGGCTTAGGGAAGGCTGCCATATTAACCTTAGCTTGATGACTCTCACAACTGTAATTAGGAAGCTCAGGTCAGATTCATCAGTATCATGATATCATTTTTGAGAAGCAAATATGCTGCTTTTAATCCCAGTGGTTATGCTATTTTTATTTCAGTATTCCTTTAGCCAATTTGGCTGTAGCTTTCCTTTTAAGTTTTACTTTTGTTGCAAATGAAAATTTAGGATTGTTAGGGTATCATGTTGTTACATATGAAGTGTTAAATTCGAATTTAATAAGATTTTGTGATTATGGTCTGGCTGTGTCATTTGATATGCATTGTAATTAATGTTTTGAGAGCCTTTGAATGTTATGGATTGCAACAGCTTATACAGAATTTGCTACGTATCTTATTGTCAAAAATAAATAAATCAATAAATATATATAAAAGTAAGAAAAAAAACACAACAATGACAACAACTTTTGAATCAGATGCAGAATCAAAGCTCATTGCTAGCTGTATTACTCTATAGATCATGCTGCATAGGCTAATTTGTGTTTTTTCGTTAATGGGCTTCATTATGAGGTTTGGAAGATGTAAATGCTGCAGATTGCTGTCTTTATTAGAAATTGCTGTTGTACATATTCCTCACAATGTCTGTGTTGATCTATCAATTCTTTCTGCTTGCAGTGTTGGAAAAAGAAGTGGTCATATACCCTACCGAGACTCAAAGCTTACTCGCATACTGCAGCACTCACTTGGGGGAAATGCTCGTACTGCCATCATATGCACTTTAAGTCCAGCATTGAGCCATGTTGAACAAACGCGGAATACTCTCTTTTTTGCTACCAGAGCAAAGGAAGTGACAAATAATGCACAAGTAAACATGGTACTGGTTCTTGGACACCCACTTCTCTTATTTTCATTGTCTACTGTATTGAAACAAATTGTAGCTGCTTTTTTCTTTATTCTAATATTTCTTCTCTCTTTTCTTTTTCTTTTTTAAAATACCAGGTTGTTTCAGACAAGCAACTGGTAAAGCATTTGCAGAAGGAAGTAGCCAGACTGGAAGCAGAGCTACGTACTCCAGAACCATCAAACGAAAAAGACGCAAAAATTCAGCAGGTACACCAACACTGAAGTCTGGCATGCTGAATTATCTAAAATGGGATTGAAAAATTAATGCTCGTCTATCTTATGACTCATTTTGTTTAGATGGAGATGGAAATCGAAGAATTAAGGCGTCAAAGAGATCTTGCACAATCACAAGTGGATGAGTTGCGTCAAAAGCTTCAGGATGATCACCAGGTCTCTCTCTCTCTCTCTCTCTCTCTCTCTAAAAATATTTATATATTAATTCAATTCTATATAAGCCTTTATATTTTTTTTTATGTTGATTATTACTTCAGGGTTTGAAGCCTTTTGAATCACCCAGCCCAGTGGTGAAGAAGTGTCTCTCGTTTTCTGGGACATTATCACCGAAACTTGAAGGCAAGGAGTCAGGATATGGTGATAGAACAAGAAATACAATGGTGAGGCAGTCCATGAGGCAATCTTCAACTGCTCCTTTCACACTCATGCATGAAATTCGGAAACTTGAACACCTCCAGGAGCAGCTCGGAGAAGAAGCAAATCGAGCTCTAGAAGTACTCCAAAAGGAGGTAGCTTGCCATAGACAGGGTAACCAAGATGCTGCAGAGACTATTGCTAAGTTGCAAGCAGAAATAAGGGAAATGTGTGCTGTCCGACCTGCGCCAAAAGAAGTTGAAGTTGGAAGTGTGGTTGCTGTTAATAAGAGTGTTAGTGCAAACCTCAAAGAAGAAATAACCAGACTTCATTCACAAGGAAGCACTATCGAAGGTCTTGAAGAGCAGCTCGAAAATGTTCAGAAAACTATAGACAACTTGGTAATGTCACTTCCTAGCAACAACGATCAACAATTTATTAATGAGGCAGCTCCAAAGGCCAAGAATCAATCGAAGAGGAAGAAGTTGCTTCCTTTAGCTTCAAGCGACAGTGTCAACCGCCAAAATTTCATAAGATCTCCATGCTCACCCCTATCATCTTCTCGGCAAGTGTTAGAGACTGAAAATAGAGCTCCTGAATATGACGATGTTGTGTCCAATGAAACTATACCAGCATCTGAGAAAGAGACTCCAACAAAGAGTGAAGAAGGTGGAGATGTTTCATCAAAGGAAGGTACTCCATATCGACGGTCAAGTTCTGTCAACATGAGGAAAATGCAAAAGATGTTTCAGAATGCAGCAGAGGAGAATGTAAGAAGCATAAGGGCATACGTAACAGAACTTAAAGAACGGGTGGCAAAGCTGCAATATCAAAAGCAGCTACTTGTTTGCCAGGTAAAGAAGAGGATTTTTCACCTGTATCAGATCTCTCCCAAGTTCATTATAGACTTGGGAAATTTGTTTCATTTGCATTTTTTATCTTTGTATTTAAAAGTTCTTTTCAACTAAATGCAAAATTTTGTTCCACTTGCATGCATTATGCTGCTAGGTTATTGAGCTTGAAGACAATTTAGACAATGATGAGAGCATGCCTGAGATACAAGAGGAACCTCAAGTTCCATGGCATGTGACTTTTAGGGAGCAAAGGCAGCAGATCATTGAGTTATGGGATTTATGCCATGTATCTATCATTCATAGGACACAATTCTACCTATTATTCAAGGGGGACTCAGCTGATCAAATATACATGGAAGTTGAACTTAGACGCTTAACTTGGTTGCAGCAGCACCTGGCAGAACTTGGGAATGCAAGCCCAGCTTGTGTGGGCGGTGATGAGCCTACAATCTCTTTGTCATCAAGGTTATTTTTCCCCTTGATATTTGGGGGGCTACTAATTGAGATGATTACTTTCCTCATGTTCTTGTATGAGTTAGACAATTAACATTTTTATTGTTCACCTTGTTCTGCAATGCAGTATTAGAGCGTTGAAGCGCGAAAGGGAGTTCCTTGCCAAAAGGTTAACTACACGTTTGACTGTAGATGAGAGAGATGCACTGTACATAAAATGGAATGTGCCACTAGAAGGGAAGCAGAGGAGGATGCAGTTTATAAGCAAGCTTTGGACAGATCCGCATGATGCCAAACATGTACAGGAGAGTGCTGAGATAGTGGCAAAGCTTGTAGGTTTCTGCGAAGGTGGAAATATGTCAAAGGAGATGTTTGAGCTTAACTTTGTGCTTCCATCGGATAAGAGGTCATGGATTTTGGGCTGGAATCCAATTTCAAACCTTCTTCATTTGTGAGAAACTGCAATTTGACTGTAAGTACATCACATTTAATTTCTCGTCTTAATTATATGTATATGAATTTTGGAGTCCCCCTCCAAGATGTTCAATTCTTTGAATTTGGTGTGACTAGCTGAGTGCGCTGAGCATGATGAGATTTTGGATATTTCGCTATTGTAATTCTCAGTTTTTGAATAAAAAGATCTAATTTATGTGTTGTTTAAATTAATCCTATCTTGTTTGATGTGCGCTTGATAAGAATTGAAGCAACATTTTCTACCGTACTACAACAGAAGTTTATCAGTGCTGGACCTTAGGAAATAAACAACGTGGATTCTAAAAGTTGGGGAATGATATTCTGAAAGATACAATGTGGATCTATGAAGTTCTCAAGAATCTTCATACAGTATTGAATCCTACAATCTAGCTATGTGCTGCTTGATAAGAACTGAAACGACATTTTGGAATGACAACAGGAGTTTGTCAATGCCAGACCCTAGGAAATAAATGACCCGGATTTATGATGTCCAAAAGAATCGTCGTATTTAAAAGAAACACGAAGATTAATGGTTGTGTTACACATGATATGGCAAACCTATTTTTTTGTACATGTAAAAACATTAGGCAATACCTATAAGAATTTTAACAAATTTTATCTTGCAAAAAAAATATCCAAGAACAAATATGTGATCTTCCACAGTATCCAAGAACACACGGGAAGCGTCATCTATTTCTTCTATAACCTTATTGTTTAGTAAGTCCAATTTGGAGACTGTAACTAGTTAAGCCTATGTAGAGACCAACTGTTGTATTTGTAACCATATAACACAAATTTTCTCATAAAGAATTGCTAGCCTACTCATAATAGGAAACCATAGGCAATTATCATAACTAAGGCGCAGCATTCTCAATGGATTATCATGATCACAACCAATAATCTGATATAATATTTTATCTGTCTCTCTATCACTCAAGCACTCCCATCAATCCAGCTTTCATAAAGCACAAAACATAATTCTTTCATTTTCCCTCTTATATGCTGCATAGGTTAGTATTTTAAGTTATCAGAAGACACAAAACATAATTCTTACATTTTCCTTCTCAAAATCTTCTCTAGTTTGGTCTTCAGAAAAAATTACATCAAGACTTCTAACCATTTCCTTATTTGCCACTCTTTTTCTATAACCTAAGAAAATATTTAGTTTTGATTATCATCAAGCTTGAATTTTCGCTCTCTTGGAACATAAACAAATAACCTTGCAACCAAGCCCTCATGTTTAAAACAAGCAACTTTACAGTTCATACCTTTTTGAGTTTTTGCCCAAATATCATCTCCATTTAAGTCTATAACTGGTGCCCATAGTTACTACACCAGTACAGTGGAAGAAGTATATAGTTCATTTAGTTCATTTTCTCCACCGAGTACATAATGTAGCAAGAAGAGGGACATAAGCTAGCTAAGATAAGACTTTGTTTTATTTCCATAATAAGTACTAGTGCCAATAAAACAACCATACACCATAAACAGACTTTTCTCTCTCCACCCATTAAATTAGTATGTAGTAAGAAGCATAAAAGAGTGAGAGACTAGTAGTCCCTCTAAAAAAAGGGAGTAGTTTATGCATTAACACTTGGGAATAGGAACTCCACAAGTGGTAACAACCTTCTTGGCATTAGGGGAGGTAACAAATTTCTTCATACTTGGGTTCTTGAGGTATTGGCAAAGGCAAGACTTCTGCTGCTTGATCTTAGTGCAGCACAGTTTTGAAGGCGGACTTGACGACGTGATTGCACTCATGCAAGGGCTCAGCTCAGATGGGCTGCATGTTGCAGCAGCCACTGAGAGCTGTGCTTCAGCTAAGAGCAACACTAGCACAGCACACACTGCAGCAATGTATGAGGCCCTCATTTTTGGTTTTCCTCACTCACACTGGAAAGTTTGGGATGGCCAAAACTTAATGAAAGAGAGACTTCGGGATGTGGTGCATATGGCATAGGTCTTATCTCAATTTATAGATGAGAGATTGATAGAAACCCCCCAGATTGTATGGCTGAGGAACAAGCCAGAAATACATAGTGTAATAATTTTAGGTATGGGTCGATACTCGTTTCAAATTAATGTATCCGGTCCAGTGGGGTATAAATTCCTACTCACACTTCTCATAATGTCACTATGAAATAATTGAAAGGTACTAATATCTTATTTACCCTATATATGGTACAAGAATACATTTCTCACAATATATATAACATGTTAGGAGACAATGCCTATACTAATTTCCTACTAGAAGACATCTGAGATAATGGGACCAGTTTTGACTTTGAGTTTAATCCTTATGATCTAAAACGTTGTCTGTCATAAAATAGAGCAAAACATGAAGTCTGAAGGTACTTTCATGGAGTGGCAAAGAAAAAATGTGCATACCAATCATCAAGTAAAAGTGTGAAGTTATAAAGGTGCGAAATTTTAACAAAGATATAATTTAGAGATGGTAGAAAATATGTGCAACAAACTCAGTGTAGGTAGGACAAGACCTTATTATGACTTCAAAAATCTTGGAGAATTCTTGGAAGGGCTATTGAAACTACTTTTGGTTTTATGTCCAGTTAAGTAAAATTACAAGAAGAGCCTGCTCATAGGGTCTAATAATTCTTGGAAGGGCTATTGAAAATTTGAAACAACTTTTGGTTTTATGTACAATTAAGCAAAATGACAAGAAAAGGTTGCTCATATGCTTATACCACCCCTGTTCCTTAAGATTTTTGGATTGAATTCTCCAAGATTTTTGAATGCTCCAAATTCCAATTGTGCATCTAAATCTTGGGACTTGGAGCCTCATTAAGCTTCAGGTCTCAGGTTCGATTTCCCTTAGGTGCGAGCAATTCCTTGGGGCCACGATCGCGGACAAAGTCCGAGCTTTAACCGATCCGTGTGGGGGGTCAGCTTGCATGGGTCCCCGGGGATTAGTCTGGGCAAAGCCCCGAATACCTCAAGTTCCAAAAAAAAAAAGAAGGTTCGAGCACCGTGCCAAATGTGTCCCAAGAGGAAGAGCAGAGCAAATGAAGCATGCCATGCCAAAAAGTAGACCAATCCCTATCATCAAGAAATTGGAATCCCTGTTATCAAAAGGGCTTTTTGCGATTATTTCTAGCATGGAATAAGTTGATCACATCCACTCTGGTATCTTATTGAACAAAAATTATGATATTCTTCGCCCATTGATCAAGAATTAGTAGCTTCAGAAGGTGAAGGGGGAAGACTTGAGCCCCGGAGGTTTTGGATAAAGCTGCAATCACCAGTCTCGCACTAGCTCCCTCAAGGAGGTGTTAGACACCACTTATCAGCAACATTATTTTGAGACTAACCCATGAGCTTAGTAGTTGATTACTACCTGTATAGGCATCAATAAAATGTAATGAAGTGGTTTGAGCACCACTCATATTTTGCTGCTTCTAGTTCACATCAGTTTGTAGACTTACATGACCACATAGTCATCATCCTTTGCATTGCTATTTGGATGTATTATAAGATATTTCCAGTACTAGATGTGCCCAGAACCACACCTTAACAGCTAAGCTATTGTCTTCTCTCCATGTATAATAGAATGGAAGTCTATCTATAATAATAGCAAGTGATACAAGTATCCTACCTCCTTACTAATACTAGTATCATCCACAGTGTGTGTGTGTGTGTGTGTGTGAGAGAGAGAGAGAGAGAGAATGCCCCAAATTATTATCTCCATTACAAGACAAGACTAGTGCCCATTACTACATGTCAACAACCAGTACAGAGTAGACCACACCAATTAGATAACTATTGTAGCAAGAAAAGGAACACAGATAAGAAAAGAGTGACATTATTTTCATAATAACTAGTGCCCGTACCGAGCCAGTATAATATGGAGATCACACCAGATACATGATAAACAGACTGATCTTAGCTCTCTCTACCCATTAGAATATATATGTAGCGATTAAGAAGCATGACAGAGTGAGAGTGTGCCCTTAAGGTTAAGGGCTTAGGCACCTAACACTTTGGGGCAGGAACCCCACAAGTGCTAGAAACCTTCTTGGCATTAGGGGAGTTGACAAACTTCTTGAGATTTGGGTTCTTGAGGTACTGGCAGAGGCAAGGCTTTTGTTGCTTCAGCTTGGTGCAGCACAGCTTTGATGGTGGAGATGACGACGTGATTGCGCCCACGCAAGGGCTCAGCTCTGTAGGGCTGCATGTCACAGCAACTGAGAGCCGTGCCTCAGCCAAGAGCACCACTAGCACAACACACAGTGCAATGTATGATGCCTTCATTTTTTTTTTTTCCTTTTCGCACACTGAAATGGCTAAAACTTGATGAGAGAGAGAGAGAGAGAGTATGTGTGTGTGTGAGAGAGAGTTGGGGATGACATGCATATGGCTTGGGGTGTCATCCCAATTTATAGGTGAGAGGTTGCCTAGTAAAGTTTGAGAAATTAATTAATTTCATAGCCTTGCTAATTTAATTTTTTAGCACAGTGGTAACGAACTTGAGGCCACCATCAAGTGGATAAGTTCAACATTTATATCTCATTGTTCATTTTTTAAATTTTCTTTTTATGAAATAAAGGACCATGATTTGAAGGTCCAAGGCCGAGAAGGAACAAAGAAAGAACAATACAAAAAAAATGTAGCAATTATTGGTAAAAATATAAATAGGTGCAACAATCTTGTATGGTTGGGCAAGGAGTGACTTTATTAACGTTTGGCTACTATAGAAAGGATTATAACATATACCAACTCCCGACTTTATTACACTGTAACACTGACTATACGGAATTCTAATTACATATCCATTTTGTCCTTATAAAATATTTGAAGGATTGAACAAATAAGGGATCATCATAAAACTTTTTAAGTATCCCTCAAATTTAAACATACTAAAATTTTGATATATATATATGTATTAATAAAAAATATTTGGTCATATATGTATGTAAAGATGTAAGTTCTTCAAAATATTGCTGAAACAGTAACGCTAGGTGTGAGACGACACTAAATTAGTAGGATATTTTACATGTCTAACTGTTAGGATTGTCAATTTATAATATATCTTGTTAAAAAACTGAGAATGGATTTATTTGTACATGGACCACACATCCATGTCAATCATGACTTATAGAGGACTTGTGACCATGAATAATATACAAGTGGTGCACTCATGAGAAACTCATTATGAAGTGGTTTGGTGATATTGGGGATCTGATTGCTATTCAAGGAAGTGTAGGGCCCACCTCTCCAGTCTCCAGTCACCACCACCACCACCACCACCATTGCTGTGACTTTCGGTGGCGTGGGATATGAGCATGCACTTGTTGGTTACATTTATCACAATTCCCATGCGGGCAGATATATTCTCATCATTGATTTTATATGCCCCAAAATCATGTGTAATCATGTTCTCTCACCATGTAATAATGCCCCCCTTCAGCATCAATAATGTAATTAGGAAAAAGTATATTTGTGCCGTACAAATAGCTCGTGGGTTGCGTCTCTGAGTCTAATGAGAGGTTATCGCTATAAGCACAGTCAAAACTTATGCTATGTTTGGTACTACAAACAAAATATATATATATATATATATAATAACATTAGTTGGAAACCAAAAAATGAAATGAAACTATTTGAATGAATTTATAACTATATCATTTTTCTTATATTTTGTCTTATATAAAATAAGAGTAATTTTGATATTAACAAAGTTTTATTAAAATTAATAACGATTTCTTTTTTTTTTTTTCCTTCCATTTTTGAGAGAATAACAAAAGTTATTCATACCTTATTATAAACACAATCTCTCGTCTCGCTCCATTATCATTCTTTTCTTTTCATTTCATTTTCATTGTACTAAACTGACCGAAAAATCGTGAGAAACTAAATTTGAGTTTAAGTAAAGTGATTTGTATAAAATAAACTGCCAAAGTTAGATTTTGATTTATTTTGAGTCAAGACGAAGGATATGAATAATAAGGTGAATTGACTTTGAGTCACTAAAATAATTTTTAATTTATTTTATAATTTGATACCTCTTTCAAATTTAATTATCTTTTAATATAAAAATTAACTTCTAATTGTGTAAAATAAGATCTTTCCATGTATGACTTTCATTATACCCTTCAACCTAACAATTATATCTTTTATAATTTACTCTTTTTTTACCAAAATAATCTCCATGAATTTAAAATGCCTAGCGTAGATATAGTTCTCAAACATAGAAATAAATCTAAATTAAAATAATTTGGCATGGCCGACATGTCTTGATAATACAGCCAAGGGATAAAAGGCAAATTTATTTTTGCTATATATATTATCAAAACCGATATTTAGACACACGATTTGGTATGCTTTATGAAATGGACGGTAAAATGAAATAAATAAAAATAAAAAGTCTATATTTGTCCATGAAAGTGTAAGTTTACTAGCCGGCTATTTCTTTTAAGTGATAATCCTATGAAATCTGTACCATCAATTTTTTACTTTAAAATGTAAAAAAATATCACTAAATTAGAGTATTTGAGGAAACGATTAGAGCATCTTTATTTTTTTTTTAGTTATTTGGGGTTTTGAACATTATAGTAGTTTTGTTATACTGATAGTAGACAACCATTGGAAAATAAATTTAGTTATTATTTAATTGAAAATTAAGCTTAAAAGTTGAACTATAGGTTAAAGAAACTCGAAAAAAATTAGAAGAGGTTACTTTTATATATAGAAGGTGAATTTGAGTATGATATTGGCAATAAAAAAATTTGCATGTACATTGCCAAATAACATAGTTGAAAACGGATATGATATGTGGGGCTAAACTAAAATTAGAAGTTTGTGAAGCCAGTGGGGGGCACTGCAAGCATGACATATAAAGAGATAGTAAATTTATGCTCAAAATAGAATTACCAAAAGTACAGTCATGTAAAAGGATCTGTTTTGATTTGTAATACAATTTTGACTTTTTGCAGGTGTCGTCGGCATGGTACTCTGTGATACTATAACCGATCTAGATAAATAAAAATATAAATTAGTCGGTTCATAAAAATGTATATTAATATCAAATTCTTAAAAAGTAACAACGTATCAACTGATACGATGAACATAATTATTAATTAATTCTTTAATTTTCATTGCAAATAATAATCAAAATGAATCTCAAATCTAGATATTTTTATGGTGCAAAGGTTCTTTAATAATTACATTTACATAAACTGGCCGAATCAGCCAGTTCATGAAAATATATAATAAATTCTTAAAAATAATTACGAATTGAACAATATATTGCGTATCAATAAATACGACGGACCATGATTTACATTGACTTTGGACAAAGCAAATGTTTCCGATTTCTAAAAGTAAAGATTTCATTTTCATTTTTCACTTGCAATGACTCCCGGATATGCCAAAAATCATTATGATTAGATGAATTTATTATTTAAGGTCAAAAATAGAGTGCTTCATGTTCCCATGGTAGGCCCCATTATATCATAGCAAATTCACCTTATAATCTTCCCACTAGCTTGACCAGAAGTCAAGCTTGAACTAATCATTAACTTTCATGACAAAAGTGTGAATGGTGTTGGTGCAATCATAAGCTCACTAAGCACAAATTCCACAACCCAACTCATACCCACTATCACTCACCCACCCACTCACCAACACCATTGGCATCTATAATTGCTAGGCCATCAAATTGAGCATACAATATACATACATACATATATGAGTTGAATTAAGCATGCAAATGCGGCCACTTTCCCAAGAAAGTGGCATCCTAAGAAAGTGAAGGAAAACCATTCTCATTCATTTAGGAACTTAACAAACTGCTAAATATTATTTAATGCATAGGTAAAACTAGGACAGCAAAGTTCAAAGACACTGGTTCTGTTCTATCAGAAATCACTTTACATGAATAATATAACCAAAAAAAAAAAAAAATGTATTTGTCACTCTCAATATCCTAGATTAACATATAGACACTATAAAACATTTTATTATTATAACAATTTGCACTGCATGTATGATAGCTGCTGTAGTTTGCTACATCCATTCCCTGAGAATTTTTATTTTTATTAGATAATTATCGCACACATTTTACAAATGCACACATTTTACAAATTGTTCATAACAGAGCTCGAACTCTTCACCTCTTCCTTTTAACTTTTCTGACCCACCAAAAGCAGTCTCATTGATACATATTGGCTTGATTGAGATTTTGAGCTTTTAACTCTGATTGAAGAGGCCTAACTCACCATGTTATGACTTTTATCAACTGTTGATGGGTTTTTACCTTTGTTTTTGCTGTTTTATTATTATTATATTTTAAAAATTGATCAACCTTTACAACTTGAAACACAAATAGTACTAAATTATGCAAAATTGTATCAGTTTTCTTTTTCTTTTTCTTTTTTTTTCTTTTTTTCCTCTTAATAAGAAGAAATAAACACGCCTCCCATAGTTAATGTTTTAGTATCTGATAAATGATCATTTCTCAGTGTGATCCAAATTAATTGAAGGTGCTGAAAATGACTGGATAAGGATTTAACCTTTGACAGATTATATCATAGATCCTAAAATACCCTTATGAACTTTTAGGTTGATCTTAAACACTACTACCACTCAAAAAAGGTTATAAATAAATTTAAGAGGCTTCAATTTGTTTAACACTAAAATATGTTTCAAATTTCAATTGCAGATACTCGAGATCCAACTTCTGCTATATTGATGTGTTACACACACACACACACACACACACACAAACCTAATAGAATAATATTAAAGAGAGACTGATATATCATTCAGAGATGATTTAAAATTCTGACTTCATTTTACAAATGACTACTGACTACAAAGTCTGCCTAATTAGGAAGCTGTAAGCTCAATGTCCTCTAATTACATAATTTAAATTATGACCACTCTTTTACAAATTGCCTCACATGAAAAAGCATTTAATCTCCCTGCAGATGCCTCTCTTTTCCCTTCTCTTCATTTGTCAAAGCACCATGCAGAAACGAGAAACCAAACGCCAGCCAGGTGTCTTATTAAACAAGAAGCATAATTCAACCACCAACTTGATCTCACAAGTGGTATGACTGCTTAAATAGTGTAAACAACAACCCTGCTCATTTTCTGCAGATAATGTCACATTGTAAGCAAAGATGAAGTAAAAGTTGCAAACATAATGTTAAAATAGTAACTAGTTGAATTTAGAATAGCAACCAAACATCCAATAGTAACGGATTCTCCAACATTCATATGATACCATGTTCAAATTCCTCATAGATACATATGCACAAGGTATTGCTAGGGGTAGCATGCCATGCCAAGCAGGTCCTGAATCCTAATAATATGAAAAATAGTTCGTCTTGTCCAGTTTCAAGACAGTTGCATATTCTGTGAAGAAGGGAGTATGTGTGCAACATAGTTTAAACTCTAGCTAGAGGCGAATCCCGCTTCTCACAATTCTCGGTTTCTGAGACTTGAAGAAAACATTTAGGAAAATAGAAGAAAACCCGTCTTCTAAACCAATGTTTCCATATACTGAACTAAAGTAAAAAAAATTCAATTTTTTAATCCAAACTTTAACACCTCATATTTTCTTCAATTGGTTCAACACTATGGATATCAGCAATTTCAGACCTAAATCTCTATTTTTTTATTTCCCACTTCATTCAATATTTTATAAATTCATTTTCCAGTGTCTCTCAGCCCTCAGGATATCTCCAGTGTCCACTCCCAACAGGTAACTTTGGAACCAAATCCAAGTAATACTTATAGAACCCACTTCGATGACTTCCGATACTCATATCAGACCCAAAACCTACAATTACATCATTATTCTCAAACAGTTATTCCAGTTACTGATCAGTGCTGACCACATCATAGTGGAGATCCTCGAATCATTCCAAAAACTGAAAAGGTTGTTCCATCCAAAGTGCAAGAAATCTAATTTAAAATGCAAGAATGAAAATGGTGGGGAAATCCATAGGACTAAAGCGTCTCTAACGTCAATTTTGTGTTACGTCCATTCCTACAACCACCTTTATGAAGTAGAAACCCAAAATGCTTCTATCCGAGTTATACTCGGCTACTGGCAAAGAGTGATAGCCACATGACATGACTCGAGTGTTCAATTTATGTTATGCCCCTTATTAATTCAGCGTGTAAATAATGACAAAATCAATATTTCTAATAGATCAAGCCTTCAACTAAAAGGAATTCCACTCCAAATTTTCCATATTCACAAAATAACAGTCCATCGGAAAGGAATCCGATCTGCTTTAAAATGTTTCCTTAGAACAAAATTCAGCCTAAAATCAATCTCCTCAATAGATACAGACTCATTCTGTCATTGTATATTTGCACACACTTGATTCTTTGATCAAGCAGCTATAGAAATAGTAAGGTACTAAAGTTGTTATAAGAAAAGACCTTAAACCTGCATTTGCCAATATGTGTAATTCTACAGAAGTCCAGTTTTAAGTGATCCCAATAAAATATAATAGCAGAAACAAAGAAAATAACATGAGCAAGGAATAAACTTTTAACTATAACCATCAGGTCCACCAAGCCATAAAAGTGATGCAGTTATTGCTGCATTATATAATATAAATAAGTCATACAGAATATTTATTCATTTTCTTCCCTAAAACTAACTCAGAATAGAGGTAACCAATATTACTATTTCCAAAAATTAGACTGAAAATAAAAAACCAAACCTCAATGTCACAACTTACCATGCAATATCAACCCAATGAAGGAAACCACCATGACCTCTAGCATTTGTGAACCTGTAAATGGGACCGGAGACTAACCACAAAAAATGTTAACAGACACGTGACGGAAAAGTTTAAATCTATAAAAGCTGCAAATACCGATTGAGATAGCATTTAACACAAAAACCGCAAATTATGCCCTACAAAGTCAAAGAATGAGGTACAAAATACCTTCATACCCTTCCTGGACTGGATCTTCAGACAGCAGAAGAGGTGTATCTAGGTCAACAAATCTGTACATAAAATTTAAAGCATAAGTCAACATCAGAACATGAAGTAGAAAATGGTTAACAAGGATGATAATTTATATGTGAATAAGCTTGTTGATACTTGGTAAAACATTCAGGACAGGAAAGGATTATGAAAGTTACTGGGTTTATGTAATCTGAAACATTGTATTTATGAGGTAGTAAATGACCAGACATACAGAAAAATATATATATAGATCGGCATGTTGATACTGGCAATTTTTCTTAAAAATAAAACACTGTGATGCTTACTTGAAACACCCAAGGCCAGCAGCAAGATGACCAGCAAAGCCCATGGCCAGTCTAGTCTCAACCATACCACCAATCATCAGATCCAATCCTGATGCCCTTGCCACCTCAATAATTTCAAGGGCGCCAAGGACCCCAATTTTGGCAAGTTTAATGTTAATGACGTTTGCAAGTTTTCCTTCAACTATTTTCTTAACATCTAATAAACTCCTGCAGCTTTCATCAGCAGCAACAGATACCCCATATTTGTCTTTTGCAACACGACTAACTTGACCAAGACCTGCCCAATCATCTCTATGAACTGGTTGTTCAAAAAGAACGGGAGTCACCTTCATTTCTGCAAGAAATGACATTTTAAAGATTTCCATATGTTATGCAATCGTATTTACTCAAAATATTGAAATGCACTAAAGATATGCGCACACATGCAAGGTCTGCATTTTAAGAATAGTCATGTGCAAACGAAAAATATACTGCTCTATGTTTGTTCTAATTTATTTTTATTAAATAATGGGATGAAAAATTATCACTTTATGATTTCACAAATACTTTACCACGTAATGTTTCAAGAACTTGAATAGCTTCTGCAGAAGTGTAACCCTCATTAGCGTCTAGAATAAACAAGCAATTGGGGTGGGCCATGCGTATGGCTTGAAGCACTTCAATGTCTGCTTTCAGATTTTTACCCACCTTAAGTTTCAAGGTCTTGAATCCTTGTTTGCGGTACTTTGAAGCCAATTCAGCAGCTTCAGCAGCGGAAACAATTGGAATCTACACATACGCAAGTAGTTGATGTTATTATTCACAGTAAAGCTTCGAATAATGAGTCATTGTCACACCCATCAGCTTAATGGATGTGATAATGAACTAGAATTTAAAAACAAAAAAACAAAAATGACAAAAAAAAAAAAAATTGTTACATTACAGAACTGAAAGAAAGGACATTTTTCCAATTAAGCAATTAAGCATGTTATAGTAGACAGGGACTGAACTGTTATATCAGTAATAATGGAATTTGAAACTCCACCAAATAGTCTCCACAAAGGTATGCCTGCGCTGTTAGCAACTGCATCAATCAGTGCCATCTCAACTCCCGCCCTAACCTTCAATTGCAAGAGACAAATTAATCAGAACTAAAACCCTCTTAACTTATTAAAGTTGAAAATCTGAAATGGAAGAGTTACGTGTGCTTGCAAGAAAAAAAGTATGCACGGGTAAATAAACTTCCAAATATGTTTCTTCACTACTGACTGCAGGTTTATTGTTCCATCATATGTAATAACTACAAATATCACATCTACCATGTGTGAACACCATTATTGCTCTTCAACAGCAATGAAGACATGTCAAAAGAATGGATAAATTACCAGATCAGTGAATAAAAGACGGAAATAAATTTATCATATCAAAAACAGAAGAGAAACAAACAAGAGTCACAAGACAAAATAGAATTTGTGAAACTGTAAGGTTCTTTTTCCAATTGAAGAAGCATTTTAATCATTAAGTATCACCTTAAAAACAAGTTCATATCTTAAGAGAAAAAAATTCGGCCAGCATCCATAGGCAAACAAGTTACCACAAAAGGATGCAACATAAAACATAACGATTATTGTGGTTGATCAAATAATAGGGTGGATGAAACCCACAAAATGTACATCAATATCCCAAAGTCATTCTAAACCTAGGAGTCCACCATCATAAGAGTCCCATAGAAACTTTTATATTTTTGAAAGCCTACTCACACTAAAGGCACACTAAAGCCTTGAGATTCAATTTCAAGGGACCCTTTCTCCAGCTGACTGCATTTTCATAAAGCTTCAAGCCGAAGTGATAGCTGAATATGGATTGGCAACTCTTTTTTTTTTTTTTTCCAAAATATTTTACGATCAAACAGATTCTGCTTTCTTGGCAAAATCATAAGCACCCCTCAGCAGTAAATATCCATAAAAACAACAATGAGAAATAAGAAGTCTATTCAAATTTTTTTTTTTTCCCTGCTAGACTTGAGAAGCAAGAGGATATCTTCAACTCTCTTCATTTGCTTGTGACTAATTTCAATAGGTAAATTGCAACTAATTGGGCGAGTGAAGGACCAAAACCATATTTAATAGAAAGTATGGGCCTGCTTGCTTCAGTTTTCAAGAAAACAGAAAACTATGGGCCTTTTTTTTTTTCTTTTTTTCAGAAAGTAATTTCTAAAACTGTCAAACAAACAGACTGTTGTACAGTTTCTGATTTTTAGTTCTCAAAAACCAGAAAAATGTTCTTCAAAAACTGAACCAAACCAGCCCTAAAATCCTGTATAATTTTCTTAAAAAACAAAGTCTAGATAATATATACCCCATACCAAGCTCAACAGGCCTTCAGATCACTAGCCCAATTTATCTTGTATATGACGATCACTCCTGCCCACTTCATAAAATATTTTTACAACCTGGGACCAAAAATTTAGGTGCGTAGGAGGGGTGAGTAATATAGACCAAACAAAATACTGTAGCTGTTTTTAGCCTCTTAACTGATGTTCTATGATTTGGCAGTCCAAGAGCAATGGCCACTTGAAGCACATTTCTACTCTATATAGTTATAATATGACAGACACTTTTATTAATGTATATGATCCAAACACCAATTAACAAAACTCAGGAAACACCAAGTAACAAAACTAAGGAAACACCAATTATCCTACATAAATTTACATTTATTAAGAGAAGCAATAACAAAACCAAAAGAAAATTGAGAACTCCAAAACACTCACAGAAGCAAATTCATGGCCAGGTAGGATCTCGCCAATCTCACCCAACGCGGAACCCAAAGTCATTGCCGGACACCGTCGTAGAAACTTGCAGGCCTCCGCCGCCTTCACCATCGCCGCCGGCTGATCCTCTGCAGTGACAAACGGAAGAATCGGAGCCTCACCCCACCCCACACACCCATTACTTAATTCAATCCGAATCGCCACATTCTCGACCTTTTCAAGCCTCGACGACGCAATCGTAAAAGGGGCAATCAAAGGGACATTCAGTGGCCTCCCCTCTGCTCTTTGAACATCGACTGTGAATGTTTCCATCAAATTCTTGAAGCCAAAGGTTGTGGGTGTCTCAACCGCCATGTTTTTGCTGCCACCAGTGGCATAGGTGGCGAAAGTTGTGAAATTGGGTTGGGGTTTGGGGGTTTTTGGATTGTGGGTTTGTGAAAAGAGTAGGAAAGGAGATGAATAGTGTAGAGTCAACCCAATTGGACCCATTTGATGTGGAGTGAAGAGATAGGTGGTGTTCTGGAGTGTTATGATTGGGTTCAGAGAGAGTTATGTGAAGAATTGCCATTCTTAATAGCTCCTGTTGATGAAAAATCGAAAATGGCGAACAGTGAGGAGCTTATTTTATTCAGATTTCAATTTTAAATTATTGGACTAGTGTTTTGATTCTCGGGTGCATGTGCGTGTTTTGATTCTCTTGGGTTTTGGGTGCATGTGCTTGTTTTTCTTTTCTTGGAGAAGATTCACTTGATTGAATTATTCATTACGTTATTGTCTTTTTCGGGAGGTATGAATTTTTTTATTATCACGTGCTCTATTGTTTGCAATTAGTTTTTGGATATAAATTACACTAACCACAGTTTTCGTCCACATTTATGATTTATTGCTTTAACAAGATTTGGTACGTTACTCAATCTCTCTTGGCATGTTGTTTTTTTAAATAGGGTTATTTTCCCTCTCAAACATCTTTTAAAATTAATTACCACTCAGATCTTTAGATTTTAATTTCTGTTTTTTTTTTTTTGTTATTTTTCCGTTAAAAAGGTGCAGAATGACAATTTTATTCTTGGAATGACCAAATTGCCCTCATTTATTATTCTAAAACTCTTCACCTCACTCTTTTACAATTTGCAATATATCTCTACACACACACACATATATATAATATAAAAATATTATATATAAAAAATATAAATATAAATATAATATTATATATATTAGGTTGCAATGAGACTTTCTGATGGGTCTCGGTTGGATCAGAACATAACTTTAGTTTCGGTTGGACATCCATTTACCCAGTAAGGAGTTGGGTTTGAGGTTCAAAAATTGTGTGAAAAAATTAATTTCCTACTTATCTAATAAGGAATTGGGTTTTGAAAACTCTATAAATAGAGATGGGTGTGAAGGGTTTAGAGAAAAGAGAGAAAAGATATAAGAAATTTAAGGGTGAGTGTTGTGAGGAGATGAGTGAATATATGTAATTCTCGAGTGTATATATATAGCCTCATAAGAGATGATGAATGACTGAGTGGAATTTTGACATGTGGTATTATATTATCTTTATTGATTCATAATAGTGAAATTTCTCTCTCCCATGGACATAACCCTAGAATTGGGTAAACCATGTAAAATATTGTGTTATGCATTGATGTGTATGATTGTTATCTCCGTATATGTTTGTGTTGATGTTATGTGATGATGCTTCCACTATGTGTGATGAAGGAGGAATTTAACTCTCAATAACAGTCGACCATTGAATGGGTTGGAGGGAATTAATTATCCCCAACACAAGGAGCTTTGTTTTTGTTTGTCTCACCAATTTAGATCTTTTGAAATTTATGAATTTTGGGTCTATTGAATCTCACTGACTTGGGTATTTGTTGAAGTCACCGATTTTGGTACGTTGAAACTCTCCGATTTTGAGTTTGTTCTCTCTTGCTCGCAGTAATGAAGAAGAAGAAAATAAGAAAAAAGAAAGATATATATATATATAAAAGAAAATGAGGAGAAAGCTGGTTGGTGTACATAATAAGAAATTTATATATATATATATATATATATATATATATATATATATAATTATTATTTGGTCAGTGTACATAATGAGAAATATATATATATATATAAAGAGTAATTTTAAATTTATATAATAAAGGTCAAAAAGTATTCAAGTCATTTCAATCATTTTTAAGTCACCATATAGTTAAAATGGTAACAATGTCATTTTACATGGAAAAATATTTATGATACACTTGAAAAGTAACTTTTCGGGGTGCAAGTAAAAAAAGGACCAAACGTTTGTAATGCTGAGTGATAATTATTTTCAAAAGATATTTCAATGTGATATTTGATCAAATTTAAAGGGTGTCAGTGAAATTAACCCTTTAAAATATTTATTGATCAAATTGTATAAAATAATAATTTTATTTTTTTATATAAAAATGTTATTATTTTGGTTATAAAAATTACAGCATTATTAACTTCTTATACTCGTATAGTTATTTTAGGTGAACGAAATTTATACTATCTAATTAGTGGCCCAGTTGAAACCCCTAGTGATCCAGATGAAACCCCCCTTGTACAAATAACCCCTAGATTACCCAACCCGTCCGTGAACTAATAAAATGTGTCCGTGAACTAATAATAATGTTAGTTTGATAACGAAATGGGAAAAATGTCCCTACCATACTATTTATGTTTACCATATTGTTCATAAACCCTAAACAACATCGTATTGTATTTCGTACATAAAACATTTGTAGTACACGTGTAACGACTCCTAAATGCGGATTTGTAGGGTACATACGCGGAGAAGGGGCCTCCGAACAGTTTCTGGCGGGTCTTCGGGTACTTGTAGATGATGACCCGTTGCTCTATGACGGTATATACATGCATACATATATACATATGTTATATGTATAACCTTGAATATTGAAACTTTCTTGAATGGTTGACTATTTGGAAATAGAATATCTTTTACTTTCTCTATAACTTTGTTAATCATGGTATATGATAATCTGGGTTTACATTCTTTGGTTTCCTCTAATTGATACTTGCGATTTTGATTTGGGATTACGAACTTGTGGTAGAAAAAATATTACTGCTGTATAAGAAATTGGAAAAAACCACCGAGAGAGTTGGGTACAATACCACATCGAAGTTTTTTACTTTGCTTTGATTTGTTCAGATTTCGAAATGGATTATGTTATTTTTTTAGAATATGGTAAGAAAAGCATCTTCTGTATACAAATTCTAATAGCTCTAAAGTTGTTCAACGGTGTCAATTTCAGTTTTTCATTTGTTTTATATTAGAGAAGCTTCTTCATAATTTCATGTCTTCCTTTCTAACAAATCTTAGAGAAGCTTCATCAATGATATAACAGATACCAGTGGGGTTCAGCTAGGGCTTGATCACGTGAAAAATGGAAAATGTTATTCTGATCATTAAATATTTAAGTACTCACATTGCTGGATCTTTCTGTTAAGTTAAGTTTTAATGGTAAACTTAACAGAAATAATAGTTTAATTAGCTTATATGATGCTTTTCGCACCAGATTCTAAAATTTATTTTATATGTGCATATAATATATATGCACTCACACACACACATATTCCTTACCGACACCTTGAAGAGTAGATAGCTGGCATTAGTTCAAAATTTTCTGAGGCATCCATTTGGGAGAATCTATTACTATTATTTTGAGACTAATAAGCTTTTTCCTTACTTTACTAATAATTTAAAATTTTAACAATTCGTTTTAGTGAAAAAGAACCAACAACAGAAATAGTACTCCTACTATCAAACAACACCCAAATTCATGATGCACTCAAATATATGTGTCGGTGTGTATATCTGAAACAACACTGTTTGGATGCTGGAAATCCCTCTCAACAAACACTGGACAAGGCGAATCAAGTAGAGAATATAATCTTGAAAGTGTCCCTGGAACCTTATTTGAAGTAAGAGGAAAAAGAAAAACAACCTTTTTATATATAATAATAATTGACTTCTTTCAGACTTAAAAGTTCACCAATAGTACTTGTGATTTGTGAAAGCTCATTTGAGGCAAATGTGTAACTCATGAACAAGAAACAGATAACAATCATAACATTATTGAAATGAAAATCAAACTTGTGTGGCCTGCCATGAGCCCATTCTCAATCAAACCTCCAAAAACTATCTGCATTTACATTGTGGGTGTCTTCCTTTTACTTTATTGTTTTGTTGCCAAATATGCTGGCTTTAAGAGGATTCCACTAGGTCTAATTGAATGCTACCTTTATGAGCACTAATACAAGGGATAAGATTACACTGGTTCCAGCCTACTCAAGTCAAATACTATTACACAAGGATATATGTGTCAAGTTATTGTATTTTGATGAATGATTGGTTCAAAAAGGTAAGATCAGCATTCACCTGTCACCAAATTAAAGGGCATATGACTGTCATGCTAGCTTTCTCCCACAACAAAATCTGTGACAGAGAAGAGTGGGATCTGCATAGAACCAACCATCAAATTCATAGTGGCTGAGTTGACCCACCATCTTAGTGTCAAAACTTGAGTGCACTTCATGCCTGCCAATCCTGATGCAACTAAGAAGAATCACATAAAGATTAAGCAGAGAAGACTTTGATAGAGACAAAAAAGAAGTCACTTAAGTGATGAATATATACTTTACAGCAAGTATAAGAAGGAAGAGTTTGTGGGGGCTGTTCACTTCTCAAGCAAAACACACACACACACACACACACACAGTGTACTTTACAGCAAGTAGAAGAAGGCAGAGTTTGTGGGGGCTGTTCACTTCTCAAGCAAAACACACACACACACACAGAGTGAGAGAGATGGTAAGGGAGTGGAAAGAGGTGAGTGCTAGGAATGGAGGTGGTGGTGGTGATACATATATAGTATTCTGGGCAATCATCGTCACATTATCCCTCATCTCAGCCATAATCTTCTCTTGTGCAGAAGGTGCATCCAGAGACAAAAATTCTGCAGGTGAGCCAAGTGCTTACGGTGCAGAATGCGCCGCTGGGTGTGGGGGAGGCTGTGGTGGATGACTTCAATCCTACCACTTCTCTTAACACAAAGCCAAGAACTAGAGTCTGACAATCCATTGCCAAAAATGAGAGGAAGCTCTTTTCTAATTCAGATCATTCACCTACAGCAGGTTTCAAAATAAATTTTGCTGCTACTTGGAACCGGACTTGATTCCAGAGAACCATAGTTATGGAATGTAAAGCATTTTCAGAGTGATTAATCGACACCTTTGTATTGTGGTTCATAAATTATCATTTCACAAATTATATACAAATTTTCTTCCCTGGTTGACACACTTCATTTTACATATATGCACACACATTTTAAACAGTTACAAACACACATGCAAACATTGACACACTCCACTATGTACTATAAAGACTTTCTGGGTAATGGCTAACCACTCCACAACAATATGAGGTAGCATCCTCTAATTAACAAAGGCAGTAAATTGAACAAACAAAAATATTAAATTTATTCAAAACTTATAAGCTATTGATTTTAGACCAGAATTACCACCAACATGAACAACTGTGTTTTTCTATTGATAACTTGTAGTCATAAATAAGTATTTAGGGTGCAGATCATCTACCTACATACACAGAATTTTCAGCAATTAGCTGA